CCTGGTGTGTTTGTTATACAGCTGGGTCTTCCTGTTACTAGTTAAGGATTTGAGATTTATTATTGGATTGTATCATTCCTAATGTTGTGGATATGGTTGAGCTGTTAAATCTTGTTTGTTGTTACTTAGAAAATCCTATTTCTTGGTAGTTATGGTGGTGCGTGGTGACCTGCTGACAGCACACGGATTTTAGACATAAATAATGTTCAAGATGAAGTGCATCGTGAGAGTATAGAATTAATAGTGAAACCTGTTTGGCTTAACATTGTGTAATTCTGTGCTCATACTGACATTTTAAACAGACTATCATAATCATGTTTTTGGAAGATAGCTGTTATATTAGAGTGATATGCATGTAACAGTAAACATATCAGAATCTTGTTATCTGATGTATTAATCCAGAGGAGTATTTTGTATGTCTTTTTGGATGTGTTTTAAGAGAGATGAAAAACAGCCTTTCTTTGCCATGAAGATGGGATGTTGTGCGATGTAGTTGGGTAGAAATTGACTGACATTTCAGAGGTGCTTGGCCTAACAGAAGCCTAACAATGATAAATGTTTTCAATATGTAATGACAAAAACATACATTTTGAAATATTAGTCCCACCTCAATTATTCATTTGAAACACAGTGCAGTTTTAAAAGGACATTTTAAGGCATTCCATACATTGGCAATTTAAATGAGAATTTTTTAGCTCTGGTGTTTTGTGTGGTTCTTGCCTTTGTAATTTGTCACCTTGTATGATGAAAAATAGTTACGTGGTATCAAACAACTCATTTGATTTATGTTGTCAGTATTTGGTAGTATCTAATGTTATGAGCAACTGTTCAGTTTAATTAAGAATGTTAGAACAAGAGCTAAGATAAGTTATGCTGATGTCCATGTTGAGGAATACATGAAAATTCCAGCAATGTACATTAAACCAAATGTTGAAAAATTATTGCAGCAAATGCAAAGCAGTTTCATGTATCTCAATAATGACCGATTTTGATAAAGAAAGTTATTGAGCATTATGTGTTTATCTAGTAGTACTATTAATTTAGTAGCTTTTTTAATAAATTGCAGTGCTGTTTAGTAACTTGTCTTTATTTATAACTGTGCAGTTTACATACAAGTCATTAAAAAGGGATGAATGTTCTCCTGGGTCTGGTAAAGGTTGATAACCCCTGGTTTAAAGGTGATCTAGCTACACTGCCTGCAGTGAATTGTAGTTTGTGACTGGTTTTTCAGCACTAAATCATGATAGATGATACCTATCAATTGTATGTATTTCATATACATATTCTGTGTAGTGTTAACAGTGCAGTATATTGATTTATTGTAATTAGTGTTTATGCTAATACAGATACAGTGGCTGTTTATGTTTGGGTGCCCTAAATTGGTGGTTGTATTTTTTGAAATTTGGGTGTGTAGTAGTTTCTGCTGAGTGTGATTGCAGTGGCATCCATGTCTTTGCTTGGGTCCAGTAGGATGGCCCTGTGGGTAGGAGTATTCTATTCCACCAGGAAATATTGCAGAAATCATTCATTGTTAGCTTTAAACTTTTATGCATGTTCTTTCTTGGTTTCTTCTCCAATTTATATTGATGTTTAGACTCTATAACTTTGTCACTATATTAAAATAAAAAGAGTGTGTTGCATTGACAGAAACAAATATTATTACTAAGTAGAAAACTGCCAGAAAATAGGATACTGAAGTACAAATTTGTTACTGTGCTCTTTAGGTATACACAGATATATATTTTCTATGCACAGGTGGATTAGCTCAAGGCTCTTGCACTGAATCCTCATCATGTGCCTTATGTAGATGGTGAGAAAAAATTGTTTCATATATCTCTGTAGAATGAAATATTTTTATAAATGGGCACAACAGAATGAAAATAATTGCAAATAGTGTTTGTATGTCTTTGCGCCATAAATAGTATTTCCTTCAATGGAAGACGATACTGACAAGGAATACTGACACTTGGTCTCAGCTATAATTTGAAATGTTTAATTAGTTGTGAGTATGCTTGTATATTTTTAGTGTGTGTACATGTATTGCTGTTTACAGATATTTAAAGTATTTAATTTTGGAAGTATGTTTGGTATCAGGTATGTTTGCAGGTTTAAACAAGCGGTAGTGTGAATAAGAACATTTCATGCTGTCAGTTTGACAAAATTCATGTCTGAATGCTTTTCTATAGGCATAATAATTCCTGTAGACTTTTGACAAATGTTAAACATATCAATGTAATTTTAATTTTGAATCCAAAATCACATGAAGATTTTAAAAGTTATCACTTGAAACAAGGTCAATCAGTAAATATTTAGCCCTTAAAAATGTTCCTAAGATGGTATGGAGAACAAAAATTAATTTTTCATTGTATGTATACTCTCCGATGGGTTATTCAACATGCTTTGTTAAATTACTAAAAAAAACTCCATGAAGTAGAGTTTTTCTTAGCTGATAATCACCAGCTAGTCAAGAAACTCGTCACCTTTTCTGTAATATGCAGGTCCAATGCCATGTCTACAAGAGCCCACTACTGTGTCAAATGAATCCAGTTTGCACCCTCTTGCCAACTTTCTGTAAGATCCAACTTAATATTGACTCCTGATCTGTGCCTCCATATTTCACACCAAACTCATCCCCCCTCGATTTGATCATCTTAATAATATTTGGTAAAGAGCACATACAGTGAATCTCCTCGTCATTGCAATGTTCTCTGGCCTGTCATTTTTCTGTATTGTCAAATACAGCCAAGGTTATGTAGCTTAGTGGGGATGATATAATGACTAAGGAAAAATTTGTATAAAATGCCAGAGGAATAGGAGAAATGAGAAAACCTGTCCCAGCACCACATTGCCACCGCAACATAACAGAACACATATGTCATGAATAGTTGTGTTGCAGTAGCCGATAGTCAGCTCACCTTTAGACCATTGTATTTTGTTGGACAGTAATGACAAGCACAACATATTCTGTGGGAAATTTTTCTTTTCACTTTGTCGATTTTCTAAATTATAAAATCATGGAATTGTAGTTACAAATCAAGAAATTTGTTGACTTTGTCCACAACTCGACAGTTTTAAGCTATGGTTGAAAAATGGTTCCTATGTTTGCTTCATTAAATATGGCATAGGCTTATAAATTGCATTCACTGTAAGGAATTTTCTGATCACTTGGCTTAAATCTCATTTTCTTTGAATGACTAAGCATCTGGCAACAATACATTTAATATTTATGCATTCTTTTCATAAGGTGTATAGTGAGAATACGTTATGGGCTGGTTGTGTCTGTCAATCCATTCATAATGGTTGCTGTGGTAATTGAAGTTTTTATTGATGTATATGGGAATTGTGGTGTATGTTATGATTGGTTTTGAACAGGTTAAGACATGTTAGTGTCAGTTAGGTTATGTTTGTTTAGTTTTTGTTAAGGAAGTTATGGTTAGGTGTTTAAAAATGAATTTTGAATGTGGGAATTATAAAATTTGTAATTCTGGATTATTGAAATATTAACAAAATTTTGAAATTGTGGGTATTAATAAATGTTGAAAAGTAGGTTATTTTGAAATTTTCAAAATTTGTTTTGTGGGACAAGGCAGATGTAATACCTATAAATGCACATTGCAAAGAATGCATGCACATAATTCATGTATTCCAATATGAAAACACTTTTCAAGCTTGTTAGTATTCCAGGCAAAACATTTGAATTGCACATTTTGTTTTGGAATGGTAACGTAACAGAGACGTCACACTAGAATTCTGTCATAGTGCCAGATGTTGAATGGAAACATTTCTCTGAATTGGTCTCTTCTCTAAACTATTTGCCTGTCATTTCGCAGGGGTTATCGTGGAAGATCGTCATACTACATGCCATACTGAGCCTATCACCGTGACCTTGGGTGAGCTTTCGAGAACTTTCACTGCAGATTTCCTCACATGGCATAAATTCACGAATTCGTGATGGAAACCTGTGTTCACTGTATGTATTTCTTTATGTTTATATCCTCATCCCTTATCCCTCAAGGAACAAACTTTGATATATATATTATAACTAGCATTAAGAGAATGCATGTGTGAGTGGAAGTTGGAGTGCAAGCATTTTGCATTCAGGAACAAGTTCTTTTTTTCCCCAATGATAAAAAAGCTATTGCTTTTATTAATTTTGCTCCTTATGTGGGTGTACGTGAAGTATGGCATGTTTGTATTGTTATACACTTTGACACTAGTGGGATTCTAAAACTATGGCAACATTTGCATTTTATTTGTGGAATTACATTAGAAAGTGTGCATCAATGAGACCGCAATGAAATAACAAAAATTATTGTGTAGGAAATTATATAATTATACTATCTTGTGCTTTGGTGTAGTTTGGGAGAATAATTCTCTGTTGTCCAGAAGACAATCATATTGCTTCTTTCCACATGGATATGTTTTAAGGGCCAGCTGTGACAAACAAGAAAGTGCTAAATGAGGGGACTGTATTGCGGTATGCTGGAATTACATTTGATGTGAATCAAACCACTTTAATCAGCACTGATGTTTTGTGAAGGGCTATTGAAGTATCATAGGAGAGTATGGATCTGAAAAATATTCTGTGTTTTAATCACTTTTTTGTGATCTGTACTTATGGGAAATACACATTGTGTATGTGGTGTATTAATGTGGCATTATCCTGGGTAATTTGTCATTTGATTTTAATTAATTTGACTGACTACCTAAATTTAATGTACTCCTGTTCATTGGTTTGGTTTTGTGGGACTGGTTTGATACTGAATGTAATAGGTTCTTGTTCATATAGCAGTCATTTGCAGTATTGTGGAACATTCCTCAGTATACATGTATCAGTAAGCTCTTTTAGCTTTCACTTGTTTGTCATTGTTCATGATGAAAATATGGTAATATTTGCAAATATAAATGTAACAGGTTTATTGTTTGAAATACTGGTCTATAAAATGCAAAACATGGCATAAATTCTGAAGTATGTTGAAGCAATCATTTTCACTGCAGGACATATATATGACTTGGATTCTGTCTTGGTTGTAGAGGTGTAATCAGTAAAAGAAAAAATGTCTTTCTTAAGTAAAGAATTTAGATACAATTTCAGTCTCTCAAATACTAATGAAATGTACAGTTGAGATCATTATTGTGGGAGCCTATATGTTTAATAATAATCCATTATTATTTGCTACCTATGTTTTTATTTTACATTGACATTATTAACATTTCATTATTCAAGTAACAGGTGTGTGTACTGTTTAGAAATTGTAGGTGTCTGCAATAATCTTATGCATTTGTATGTTTCTGTTAGTGTTTGTGGATACAGTTTTTTGCTTAAGGAAGTATTATCCTGGTTATGCAACTACAATCAAAGGGGACTAGTTTTTTACATATGGTAGTATTGAGTTTCTTATAAATAATGAAGTGAATTGTTGTTTAATGACAGTGTGAATTTATTAATGTCATTCAAGAATATGGTTAGGTAGCATATTTCTGAAATTAAGACTAGAATTCATCTGATAATAGTAGTAGATATAATGTTCAGAATGTACTGTGCATACTGTATTGTTTAATTTGTTAACTCCTTTATGGAGCACCAGTTGAATGCCATGCAAAGAAAATGACACAGTGATTTGAACCCTATTTTCCAATCCCAGCTACTTATAATTTTTATTTCATTAACCTTATGTTCTCCCTCTCCTGTTTCGTGTGTGTACTGTGTTTTTCAGGAACCACCAGGGGATATCAAGTGCTTGAAATGCGCCTTGTTTTTCAGGATTTTGGGGGTTCTTAAAAGGTACAAAGTTAAAAAAAAGATAACAACTTTGAGAAAGGCAGAGAAAAAAGATTAATAAAAAACAAAACAAAAGAAATGTAAAAAGATGATGTAATTTAATTTTGATGTAAAGAGTATCTCAATAAAGATATGCCTTAGGAACTAAGAACAGTGACATTTGTTGATGGCTGTAGGATGATCCTCTCTTTAGAATTCCTATACTTTCAACATTAATATTTAAGCACAAATATTTATCATATGTTGGTACATACCTTAGTTCTTGTGAAATACATCCCATAACATAAAGTGCTGACATTAATTACCTCTGGTGTCCATGTACAATTGAACATGACACTCCAAATTGGCAAATGCTGTAACATTCATGCAACATCGTGGTGAATGTTTTTAGCTCATTGATGCTGTTTGGCTTGTTCGGGTAGATTTCTCTTTTCAGTGGGCTCCACAGGGAGATTCAAAGAAAAACATATCAGGACTGCTGCAGTTACTTTAGACATGTTACATGTGTTTGTCAGTTTGGAGCATTGTGTCCAATTGTGTGTGGATGCTAGAAGTGACTACTTTTAGCACCTAATGTAGGATTCACTGTCAGAAGAAGTGAGGTGTGGTACTATAATGTTTTATCACCATGAATGCATAAATAATGGTTTCATTGCTGAATGTGGTAGACATTACATTGGCTGTAATTTTATAATTTTATCTGACCAGGCCAAGCCCAAATTTTATCTTCATTGTGTTTCCTGTACCCCCACTAAAGCCTGACTTTTTTCTATCCTCAATGAAGCCTGATCGCTATGGTCTGCCATAGCGTATCATTCATGCATTTTTCTTATAATAAATTCCAGTAACCCTTGAATGAATTATTTAATGATGCTCAGAGAACATATGAGGTTATTTTGGCATTTGAGGAGTGGGACAAAGATGTTATATTTGAAGATACGGTCATTTAGAAACTCAGGTTTGTGGGATTTATTTCTGGAGCCGAATTCTGTCATGAGCGTAAGGTGAGTGCAGCTATGAATAACTTTGCAAAAAAGGTAATGGTCTGATAAGACTGAAATGTTCTGTTTTGTGGTTGATTACTATAATTTGAACCAGACCCTTGTAGACATCTACCCCAATGTCCATTGGAGGGGCCCAAACTGCATAATATTAATTGAACAACCAAGGTTTCCAGTTACATCCATGGCACAATGATGTTTTGAACCAACCATTTAGACTAGACATCAATAGCATCTATGGTATATATGCTCGATCTTCTCTACATTAATCAGTTCAGGCCATCCACCTGCCATAACTTCGCCTTATTACCACGCAAATTATTTAAACATGAAAATATGCAGGGTATAATGACCATGCAGACAGAACGGAAATTTAATTTAATTTAGTATGACCGTTATCATTCTTGTCTAATGATCTACAGTCCTTAACTTCGTACGATCGGTAATATCAACGTGTAAATGCCATAAAAATTATGAGGTGTAACGATAACGCCATTGCGTATGCCTAACCTAACTTAGCCGAATCTGACAACTTCATATGTGATAAGGAAAAGTACGTATTTCGTAACCAGAGAATGGCTGGACAAAAATTAATTAAACTTAATATGAACTTTTTTTGTTGACTAATGAAGATTCGAGGTCTTTAATTTCCTGCACTCGGCAAAAACTAGTACTATGCAATTAATAACGTTGCATATTCTGTTTTCGCGTGTAGACGTCTAGGTCTAACACCTTTGATTTGAGTTCCGAGTGAATCAATAGTTCAATGGAAGCCCTCTGAGATGTTCAATTTAAAACTCCATGGTCAAAAGGCAATATGGCAGTAAAGTAGGTTAGTGTAGTTAATTTTATCATCCGTTGTATGAGGCAGATTTGTTCGTTGTGTTTAAATATACTTGAAAACTATTGCAGATAATTATGATGTGTTATTCTTTGACGTGCTGAACGAAATGTAATATTTTTAAAGAAAGTGTTTGTAATTGACTGATGATGGATATGCATGTATTTTATGTATTTAATTTACATGCACAGATGTATTGTCCCTTTCTGTACTTGATACGTAACGTGTGTTAAAGCTGCCCAAGGCTGTGATATGTTCATGGACTTGAGAAGAATTCGATGTGGTTCTCAATATAAACACTCGCGATTTGAATTCAGAAAAATAAATATATGGATAGTTTTCAAGGTGCATCAATTTTTGATATATCAGATACAGCAGAAAGATGTTTTATAGGTTATGAAGCATTATTTCGGCAAACAAAGTTGAAAATTGGATACAGTTGCTACTTTACACCAGGTTCGTTTTTACACATAGGAATGGAAAATCATGGCAGCGATGCTGATGATGAAGTTACAGATGTGTCTGGAGAATATCATAATTCATCAAACGAACTTAGTTTCGTTCCAAATGAGTATTATATATCAAGTGGTTCAAAGCCTTTATCATTAGTGATTAGAAGATGTAGTATTCCCACAACAGAGAACAGTTTTTCATCAGTTCTGAAGAGACATTCTGTTGGATCATCACCATTTACCAAGGAGTCAAAGATAACTTCAAACAGTGAGGTTTTGAATTTGGAAAGGGAAGTGAATGATTCACACTTCCAGAAGGAAGTCAGAATTACCTGTAATGCCATCAATTCGAATGTAGAAGAATTTGATAATTGCCTAGTGTCATCATCATCAGGTGTAGGTGTCAGAGGCCTTCAGGAAGTAATTTTGAGTTCGTCCCAAGAAAGCAGTCACTCCGTTGTGACTCATGAGTACATGGAAACTGTTATAAATGGAAATGCCTTACGTGAAGAAATCTGTGGCACACGCAATGATGAAAGTGGCCTTAATTGTTATTACACACATGGCAGTACATTACTTCAGTCAAAGCCTCTGTTTAAAAACTGTCGCAGTGACAATGCAGATGTACAGCATTCAGTATCTCCATTTTGTTGTAGGGTCACATGTGGAATGATGGATAGTGCCACAATTGATAACAAAAATCAGCATTCACCACATCCATTGGAAAATTCTGAGAATACTCTGTCCTTGATACAGAAAGGGGAACTAATTATTCATAGATTGTTTGAGGGCATGCCAGGTAGAAATATAGTGGAGAGTACTGTTAGAATTACAGAAAATGAAGGGTGCCAGGAAATAAATTCAGTGGACACTAGCAAATATGAATTAAATATTCCAGCTACTGTAATGTTGGACAATGACGTACTCCACATGAATAAATATTCTGAATATGCAGTAAACATGAATGACTTAAACTTAAAAACACAGTCTGAAACATTTTCTGTAGGAGGAGAATCAGTTGTAGAAAGCACTGTGATGGAGTCTCCAGTTAACAAAATATGTGAGGCAGAGGGGATATCTATAGTTGGTGACAGTTTAAAATTCCAAAGCAGTGAATCAGCATTATTACACATTAAAGTTGGAGACAAAGTTGAGTTACATAACCAAACTGAAAGAGGCAGTGAAGTGAGCACAATTATATGTCATAATACTGATGTTTCAGTGGGCAGAAATTTATTTGATGAGGAAGACCACACTGCACATACAGAAGAAAGTGGTGACATTGAAAGTTCTGAAGTAAGCTTTGATGGGAGCAGAACTTCTCTCCAGATTGATACATTAAAATCTGAAACACAGAATAAAATTGTCCATAAGCCTGATATGTTACAGAAAATTGATCACAGTGTAGAAAAAATTAAAGCAAACACACTACAACATGTATCTGTATCTCCAACTTTAGTAGGATGTGCACAGTCTTCCCCTCACTTTCAAAATTCTGAAAACAGTGTCCCAGTGATCAATACTGAAAACAAACAGACTCTGTCAGTAGATGATGATATTCATGTACAGAAATGTATGCAGTATTCATTTGACAATGAGGGGGAACTAAGAACAGAGTCTGGCGTTTGTTATAATTCCAAATATCCGATTTCATCCGTAGGGCCGAATGCATTTCTGATTTCTGGTGACATTACAAAAGAACAATCAGTGAATATAAAAACTGTAAATGATATGAAAACAAAAGTCACCAAAAATTTAGCCTGCAGTTCAGTTTTAGTGGATGAATCATCAGAAAATATAGTGGAAGTAGCAAGTGCAGATTGTCATAGAGATCAGTTCTTTAAAGCAAGTAAGACTGATGTGTCACAGTCACATAGCAGTTCAGTTCTTCTTCAATTGCACACTGAAGTTACATTGGAATGTTCTTATAATAATGTGTCTTCAGATGCTGTTTATGTTGAACATTCACCACTTCTGTTCAGTTCAGATGATGAGAAATCATATTACACAGGTAAGGTCATGCAAAATGTAGATGTGTAACTGAAAGTAAATTATCTGAGAAATAAAAGAGTGTGTTCTTACAATGGTAGAATTTTAGTATCTGTTGACATTTAATGTAAATTTATTTACTTACCTGCCTTGAAAAAGGTTATTATGCTGTATTCTTCATGAACAGATGAGATTATAGGTATGCAGTGGAAATAGAAGTGGTGGTCATCTGTATTGTAGCACCATATGATTTTGTACATTATCAGTACTTTAGAAGAATATTGCCTACATCTTCAGCAGGTAATATATCTCTGAAATATTGTTAACTACCTGCGAGACTCCACAGCAAGATACCCGAGAAGACCACAATCCTCAACATGTAGTTCTTGGCTTATTTTTATTAATAGTTTATTTAGTTATACTTTCTCAGTATCTTAGACTATGTAGCATTGAGTGACAGAATGGTAGTGAATAATGAATTCGAAGGGATGTGGAAGGAAGCAGTCATGGTCTGTTTTAAGGTACTTTCTTGGGATTTGCCTGGTGGAACTGAGAAAAACTATGAAAAATCTCAGGATAGCCAGTCTCCAGAGTGAGATTTAAACCCAGGACCTCTCGAATATAAAGCAAGAGTGCCAACCACTCGACCACAACATTTAGTCATAGTTGTTATTGTGTTTATGACTTTATGTGATTAAGATGTGTTTGTGAGTTTTCTTTCAAATGTAAGTAGAACAAAGAATATGAGAAATTTTCTTTTTAGGATAACTTTTAAGGAAAAAGTAACTGAATGGCATGGAAAGTTAATTTTAAAGTGTAAGACAGATGATTTCTAGTTGTATTTAAATTGTACAATAACCCATTTTATGTTAGACTGCAAGATTGTTTTCATTACTTACAGAAGCAGATAGTAATGAACTGGAAACAATTGCGACAACATCAAATTATGACAAAATCAATATAATTGAACAGAAGAGATTACATCAACTTCAAGAAGCTTTACAAGGTGTTCCCCCACCACCATCAGTTACAATTCCACAGCTCAATGTAACAGATATTCTTAGGTTATTGAAAGAAAATGAAAGTCTAATGATTACAGTAGATGCAGAAACTGAAGACAGTAAGAAATTGATTGGTGAGTAATGATCTTAAGTTAATTTTTCCAGATCTGTAGTATCTCGAGAAAATTATGCCATAATAAACCCTTTGACTATTAAGGCTAATGTAGGGTAGTGAGAGAACAGACTGGGGTGAAAGAGTTCATTATAATTGAAGTTTTAGGAGCCAGGCATAATGCTACCAAAAGACTTAGTAGTTACCAGTACACTGCAGGCAGGTATGTTATTCTCATGACAGTAAATTTATAATGACTGCCTTAATTTTGAGACTTGAGATCCTGTTAGTAATATTGATTATTCTTGTGTCCTTTTATGAGCAAGTACCAATGTTCAGTGGATTTTATTGGATTAAATTCTGTCCATATTTATTAACATTATGTTGTTCATGTGTGTGACTGCATTGGAAACCTTAATTTGTATTTTACAGTATTCATTCTACTGGAACCTCTCACTTTGTGAATACTCTATTGGGTTTGAAATCCCAGGTTGATTAGGTGTTCAGTTTCTTTTTAAAAATAGTAGGAATTGTTGGTTTTATACAGCTGTTTTGTGCCTTGCTCTCTGCAAACACCATTTTTGCTGATCTTGTATGTCATCTGGTTTCATTCATTTTCAGTTATGACTTGTAGAATTTGTTTATTTTAAAGCTTCCTTGGCCATTCTTTCTACTGATTACCAGGTAGAGTCCACTTGCATATTATTTTTGGCCATCTGAAGGTTTTTATTAATTTCTTGGGCTTACTGGTTTTTGTTGTAATAACATTTCATTTACCTTTTCTGCATATATAGGATTTTTACATTGTTTTGTTACCAGGAAAAGAAGCTGTAGAGTCTCAGAAAGCTCCATTGATACCATCATTTGTAGAACAAGTGAATAATTCTTCATGGCCAGAATCAAAATATTGCTGTTATCATGGTATTCAGTAAGTATCCACACAATCATGGAGCTGTAGCATGTGCTTAAACAATTACATATTTTTAAACCTTTGTTGTTACTTTTACTGTGTGTTTATGTTCTGTGCTTGGGAGTCAACAAATTAAACTAACTGAAGATTTCTGTCTTTTGGGTTGTTGCGCTGTGTAGTCTGGTCGATGTTAACCAACGTTTCAGAGGTCATACTGCCTCCGTCATCAGGGCGATGAACGTGACAATAGGGTGTGTGGGGCTAGGTTTATAGGTGCCGGAATGTGAATGGTGTAGCCTCCCCTGAGCCAATGGGAGCAGGCACGGGAGTGGACCAATAGGAGCGCGTGGGCGAGTGTGAGAGAGGGAGAGAAAGTAAAGAGAGAAAGGGGGAGTTCGGTTGAATGTGATCAGGGCCCTGAAAAGGGCCATGTTCATTGTCTGGTTGGTTCTGGTGGTGCAATCTTGCTTGCTCTCAGAGTCCTCGAAGAGTGTGAATAAGAGGCTTCGAGGACCGGCTCAGGTGAAGTCCAGCTTCCCTGTTGAAGTTATTGGGATGTAATTCGATCTCGACGGCTTCCCTGATTATCCAATCCATGTAGCCGGTTTTTGAGGAGGGGATAGAAGTGTCCCCAAATGTGATCAGGGCCCTGAAAAGGGCCATGTTCATTGTCTGGTTGGTTCTGGTGGTGCAATCTTGCTTGCTCTCAGAGTCCTCGAAGAGTGTGAATAAGAGGCTTCGAGGACCGGCTCAGGTGAAGTCCAGCTTCCCTGTTGAAGTTATTGGGATGTAATTCGATCTCGACGGCTTCCCTGATTATCCAATCCATGTAGCCGGTTTTTGAGGAGGGGATAGAAGTGTCCCCAAGCTGTATGCGGTGTTCCATGTTGAAGCGATGTTCAGCAACCGCAGATTTTTCAGGCTGCCTGAGCCGGATGTGGCGCTCATGCTCCCTGATCCTGGCCTCAACGGAACGGCCTGTCTGGCCGATGTAGACTTTACTGCACTTAGCTTAGGAGCAGATTTCTGGGGTTATTGCCAGTCAGAAATTGCTAATAGCTATGATTTTTTTACAGTTATGAATTTATCATTACCTGAATGTAAATAAAATAATAATGATGTGCATTCTGGAATATCTCTGAGTCAATCATGTAACTTACATAAGTTCAATATGATTATCCTTTACATGGATTGTAGCATTCAGTATGTGATGGAGCAATGCATTTTATGTTTCCACTTTTTGTTGGTCCACCAGATGAGAGTATGTGGGCTGAGGTCTGAAGATCAGGGTGGAAAGTATTATGACCACCATGACTAGTCCATCGTTCATCAGAATGTATCACCTCAATCTTCTTTACAATACTGACATCACAAACCTCATTTTCATTGATATGAGAAACTCAGATCTGAACTTTTATGAACATTATTGGTGATTTATGATTTATTATATCAACTTTTATGAGGGCTGTTGATTTTTAATAGAATGGATGAACCAACAGTACACCAACTTCTTTGGAAGTCTGATATAACTAGTGAGCCAGCATCATATATCTGATGTTTCGGGAAGGCACACAAAGATCCTTGTTGATTATGTAGACTCTAGTGAAATTAGAGTTGGGACCCAGTTGATATGTGTTTCTGCAAGTGTCAGTTCTGATAATTGTTCTCTGTAAACTTTGTTTCTAGTTATAACCGTGGTAAGATTTCAGAAGAATTTGAAATTCTCTGCCAGAAATTACAAGAACGTTATGTTGGCTGTGAGACCACTTCATCTTGCAGTTTATGGTTTAATTGTGATATTTTAAAGAAAATTAATAACATTAGCAGTCGGCATAGGAGCACTGGTCAGTCACCAGGCAGACGTTTGAGTCATCTGGCACGCAGAAGGAAAACATTTTCCAGTGCTAATTTGCTCAACAACAGCGTTGCAGGACAATTATCAGGTAGTCGTAATTCTGCTGCTTTGGAACGGCGTCTCATCATGGTAGAGATCAAGTGAGTTGTAAAACAAGCCTAAAATAGTCTCTAATACGTACATATAGTTCTTTATACAGCCAGTAAATGATTATTTTAACCCACTTTTCTTAGAAAAAGAATATGCATGTGATATTGCCATGCTGTCTGTGTGTCCCCCTTTTGTCTTTTGAAGCTAATCACAATGGCCGAGTTAAATGTACGCAGTTGCATTGAGATAAGCTCAGGAAAGTATTTATGTTCTTATGTAAAATGGTCATTAAAATTGTGTGGTGTAAATGAAGATTGAAATGCCATAAGAGTTTTTTATATAATTCTCCAATATTAAATTTAATCAAAATCAGATTATCCATTCTTGAGTTTTTTCATGCATATGGACAGTTTTGAAGGACAGCATAGTTTGAGTAGGCACTCTGCAGGGGATTGTGAAAACACCTGAAAATATGAACTGAGTGGAATTCAGTCATAAGACCACCTGTGCATGAGCTGAGATTTCTAATTTACAGGCTGCATTCGTTTTTATTGCTAGATTATAATCTCACATTTCTTAAATATAACTTCAACAACACAAGATCTGTATGGAAAAAAAGATGTGCTGTAAGAAAGTATGCTCTGTGTGTTCTTTCAAGAACAGTTATGTATATTTTGTGTTTGTGTAATGTAAATGTGTAGGTTGGCAGGATGAAGTGAAGTTGAATAGGTGTAATACAAAAACCATTTGACTTTCTTAATTTAATAGTAATATAAATGACTTAAAACTTGTTTTTAGAATTATTGGTTTACTGTCTATACTGTGTTTTGTCTGTGATCTGTGAATTATAATTAATTTGTTTCATTCATCTGCAGGAAATCAGAACATCGGCAGAAGTCCAAGAATAATCATCCTCATAAACAGGTGTCTTCTGCTGATTGTAACAGGCTGCAGCAGACTAAAAGGGCCTTATTTAAGAGTCCACCCAATAAACACCAAAGAATATCTTCTAGTTCAGAATCTAGATCAGGATCAAAAAAAAATAAAAGTGATATTGATCGAACTAGAGTTCAGAACTCAAAACGTGCGCTTTGGCCAAGCACTTCTAAAGATAATGCTCCAGTGAAATCAGGGGATGATGGGGCATTTACTAATCTCAGTGGACAGACCAGTGTGTATGGGAAAAGGACAAGGGAAGAGAGTGGCATGCCTGCACAGTATAAAAAGTGTCCTCGAAGAATGCTGTTTGTCGATGGGGCAGTAAAAGGAAAAAGTGACTTCAAGAGTCAAAGGGTTAGAACAAGTGAAAACAAACCACAAGTTTCCTCAGTTTCAAGGGACCTAACTGGTGGCTTAAGTGATGTGCATAGAAAGGTGAGGTTTTTAACTTTTTCTTTACATTTGGTAAGGTCAGTGGGACCATTTTTGTCAACCAGATTTTAAAACACTAGGATATTTTGGCATAAAGAGTAACCCTTTGTTCAAGTACTGGTGAAGGTGCTTTTTCTGTATATTCAAAACTAATTGTAGTAAATGATTATTTGAAGATGAATGAACTAAAGATTATAACAGTCATATTCAACTTGTCCCAGAGAACTGCATGATGCACTTGGCCACTGCATATAAATCCAGGATACTCCATCACTCTGCAATAATAATAATGTTAGTAACATACAAGCAGAATGCCTGCAGTGTTACTGTGGAGAAATTAAAGAAATTTTAAAATTTTCTTATCGATTTTTCTTACTCCAAAGCTTATGATAGCCGTGATTATCTAACATTAGGCCTATTGCTGAATATCACAGAAAAAATACAGTCCCTAATCCCCAAAACATTTGACTTTATGTATTGGATGATCGAGCTATGGGGCAAGAAAGATTGATAAGAAAATGTTAACATTTTTTGAATTTCCCTGCAGTAACACTGCAGGCATTTTTGTATGTTACAAACATTAATGTTAGTGTAGAGTGATGAGGTATACCTGGATTTACATACAGTGGTCAAATGTACAATGCATTTATTTGGGGAACAAGTTTACTGTGATTGCAGTTGTGACTGATACCTCTAATTGCAGTCTTTCTTATATTCCTTGTCTGTGCTTACCTTGGCAGTGGTGAAAGAGTCCCTGTTTTAGTCAGGGGCACCAATAAGGTGGACTTGATAGTGCTGACATATGATGGCCAGCTGAAAGGACTTCACAGATTTATGTAGGATCTGAACCATAATGGCAGTTAGGTGTTTCCCAAATTCATAAAGTTTTATATCATGTGAGAGGGATGTAAAAGACACTTGGAAATGTCCATACTAATTCTGAGCAATTTTGAACCTGAAATCTTTGACACAAAAGGTTTATTCATAGACCATCAGGATCTTATATCAAAATCATACATATTTATAATTTTCAACTTTGTGATCCAATACTTATATAGTGCTTTGTGAGTTATTATAAAACCATGTCATCAATATTTATATTGCATAGTTTTCTTTTTTTTAAAAAATATGTTTGTTATAGTTACATGTTTTTCAAGCATAAAAAATACTGTAGCCTGTCTCAAATCACTGTAATGGTGCTGCTTGAAACGTTCATGTGGCTACCATCTTGGGACCCTTTGTGGTGGAGAAGTAAGAAGTACATGTATGGGTTGGTTTCCAGTTGCATAATATATTTTTACAGAATTTTGAGGAAATGACAAGTTGGCTTGAAGATTAGTAGGCTGATACAAATATAATAAAAGTATTAAAGGCATGCATGTGTAAATATTAAAAATGGATGGTGTGCTTCAGAGCTTACTATTCCAATACAGACCAACTCCTTTATAATTCAATTCATTTATTTAAGTGCTTGGCAACAGCCAAATAAGGCTAGTAACATAATAATGAGCATGATTATAATGAGATCTTGGCTGTTGTAAGCAAACAGAGAAGATTTGGTTGGAAATTATGTATTTTATGAGCAACATTTTATGGTTGAAGTAATCACAGTAGTTGAGAGCTTCATGGATTTAATGAGCAAATCTTTAAGCCATTATAATGAGCAGTGGCTGAACTGCCGTACGATGGACTATGATTTATTACTGCTTTACCCGTTTATGACATTCTCCCCCTTATCTCTTTCCACATTCTTGCTGATAGCAGTTTGTAATCCTTTTAATGATATTTACAGTCGACATTCATAGTGTGTTTGGTTTGATTTTTGTTCTCATTTAGTGCAGTACGCTACTCATGAAGAGCATACTCCTTGTTCTAGTGGTGTAGCGGAAATCCCCGCAGACCGTGCATGGCAGAGGTGTTCTTAGGTATTAGGGAAAATGTATAGTGATCTAAATGGTTACCCATGGTGGGGGAGGGCAGAATGATTCTTCTACACTGCTGCCTCATTTTAATAGAGCATGTCCTATGCTGCGGGTACATGTAACATTGAGATTTTTGTTTTTTTCCCCAATCTCTTAATCCTTTCTTGTATCTCTTCCTTAATGTTATGGATTCTCAGAAGACCTAGGGAGAGAAACTACCTGGCAAACTAACAAATGAAATTTGTATTTATCGGTATGAAACATTCAGCCACAATAACGGATATAATGAATAACAGTTATAACAAACACTTTTCCTCGTAAGTGATGAATGTATGCTTAGTTTTGTAACTGGTTTGAAAAATAAATTTACTAGTGTTTTGTAATTATTTCAGAAAATTGTGATAAATGTTTCTTTGTCTAATGAAGTGATATTTCATTATGTTGCATAGAAATTGCTTTGGGCTGTAGCCGAAGCCCTTCGAGCAGAAGGCATCAGCATGAGTCATCCTTTATTCCGTCCCTCTGCTGCTTCATTGGCACGATTGGTGCTTAATGTTATGCCAGATTTAAAGTGCAGGCAATTTGGAAGTACAAGTGATATCATGTTACAACTTGCCAGAGAACATATTAAGGATGTTATAAAAGAACAGCAACTTAGGGAGACCAAGGTAAAGAAAAGCATATAGTTTGCAAAGTGGTATATTAAAGTGTAAACATACTCAGGGCTATCCCACCATGTTTGTATGAATTTTGTATGTTCCAGTGTGCCATAATCAGTTTCATGTATTTTAATTAACTTGGTCAATAGATGTCGAAGACAAAATTGACACAGATCTCTAACTGAAGAGTTTATTGAATTTTGTGTTTGCTTATGTATTAGAGTTATCTCTTAATACTGATATTTTAATTAATATATTTTGGATGAATATGATTATAGTAAAGAAAATCATCTTCAGAAGTTCTGAGATTCACATTTCTCATTATGATGAATATGTTATTATAGTCTTCTGGATTGTATCACTGTACAATGTTATACAACATTTTGGGGTACCATTTTACCTCCATCTTCATGGTTCCTTCAGAGCATTGGTAATACCTACAAGACTACATGTTGTCACAACACAGAAGACCACAGTGTATCTTTTCAAAGGTGGCTTTATTCATTCAAACTCATTCAGATGTGGAAATCATGAACCCATTTTATTAAGTAAACATGTTTTAATAATGTTACAGTGTACAGTACAGTTTTACATAGTAAAAGAAGCAGAACACTTTTAAAGTAAAGTGCACAAAGACAACATTATGAGGTACTGTGTGTTTCAGCATTGACTTTTTTTAATGAGAGACTGTTAACATAGTCAGTAAGTAGAAATAAAATTTATTTACTGTTGAGTTTGACAACTTGGTTTCAGAGTAGACTTCATTGAATTTAGTCGTTGTGAAAACAATAGATTTTATCACTTTGTTGTTTGTAATGGGAAATATGATGGGGGTAGTGGGAGCTGTGTTATGTCTGAAGGTTGCTGAGTTGCAGAGAACAGTTACATGCCGCAGCTAAAGATTTTGAGTTGCTTAGAGTTTCTGCTTTATTAACCTATCTCTTTAAATCCGTAATTTCTTTCAGTTTATTTGACCAAATCCACAGCACCATTTACTTGACACTGGTCTCATGCAGAACAGACCTACTTACATTATTCATAAGAATATGCTTTTAATGGTTGTGGGAGCATACAAACCCTTGTTGCAGTAGATATTGCTGTTATGGTTTGTGTTTAAACTTGCACCTACAGATATTTTGAATGTGCTTAAGTTTAGCATAGTGTTTATGATTTTTTACACAACCCAGGGATCAGCAAGGTGTAATTATGAAAACTACATTTTCTTATTGTTCATTTAAATGTGCTTGAATACATACATATGCTCTGTTTTGTTGCACATATTGGGTTATAAAATTATTTTTCATGTTTATTTTACTCCATGTCTTTATGAGACAAATGCTTGATGTACCTTCAGTTGAGATAAAGTTTTGGGAGAAAAATATACTATTACATAAGCAAAGGCATACTTGTTTGCAACTTCATTGTTTGTTCATTGGGAGACAGTCATTGGGCATGTATAATAAGATACACTGTATTTTTTGTAGAAATATTTCTAAAATAGTTACATTGTAATAAATGTGTTTTGTTCATGGTAATTTGTTTGCTGGTGTGATTTAAACAATTGTGAGATCATGATTTATTTGTATCAAAGATAATAAAACTATGGAAAGCATTAAATGTTAAAATAAACCCAAGTATTTTTCAACATTGATATTTTGGACATTGTATGTAAATAAGCCTTGTACATGCTGTGTTTGTAGCATTGATTGACT